GAACCTGGCTGGCTCAGTAAAGGTTAGATTTATCATTATGCCTGTTATTGTAGTTGCTCAGTACATATTTTCTGAATGAATGAATGAGTGAGTGAATGAACCAATGATTGAATCCTTGAAGGAACAAATGGCCTAAGGGACCCCAAGTTGTGCTACAGCTTTGGGCATCCCATAAAACTTGCTAGACTTATTTTGGTCAGAAGAGGGCAGCATTGAGTCAGCAATCCCAATTTGTTCCAGGATCTACAACCCTCTCTTTTGACTCCTACCTCTTCTAGCGGGCAGGTTCCTATCTAGGCAGTTCCGCCAGGCCCTGGGAGGGGAAGGTCAGCACCTGAAAGGCTGTACAGTTCACCACCCGGGGTGACTGTCACCCTCAGAGTTCTGGGGAAAGGGAATTTAATGGTTGAGGTCTCAAATTGAAAGTTGATGGTAAGCTGAGCCTCCAGCCTGCAGCAGCCCTTTTTCCAGAGAAAAGGGAAGAGGGGCTCGGACAGCTATAAGAAGGCAAATTCCAAGGGAGGCGTTAGCTCATCAGATACAGAGAGCAGTCAGCTGACCCTTCTCTACTCTCTCTTCTATCCCCACCACTCTCAGCATCTCCTCCCCACGCTCCCACTCCTCACCCCCACTCCACCCCAGCCCTGAAGGCTTTTTCCTCAGTTTACCAAATCCCACCCTCCCTCCAAGAGGGCACCCCTCCAATGCCCAATCTGCCTCCCGTGAGGCCTCCCTCAAAGCCCTTGAAGACCCATCCTTTAAGCCCCATATGGCACGCTGTACCGATCTTGAGAGTCTTCCCACTTTCTGCCTTGAGTTATACAGTAAATTGTGTGTTCATCTTATTCCCCTTACTAAACGGTAAACTTCCTGAGAGTGGGGAGCTAGTTCTTAGGCACCCCTCAAGACTCCAGAGAATTTCTTTTTCATGCAACCTGTCTGACTCCCCACTCCCACCTCACCCCCTCCTGCAAGCACCCTGCACTCCACATATCACCGCAGTCCTTACTCTGAACCGAATGTTAACACTCCCCTCAGGAGTCCAGATCCACAGACACACACAAATGGCCCCACGTGTAAGGACTGGGACAGACACTTGTTCCTAATAGTTTTCCCCGTGGGGCACCTAGTAGGCCCAATGAATGGTTATCCCCAGATACGATCTGCTTGTTTATTTCTCACTAGACTGAGCCCTTCTGACTTGGATCAGTGATTAAATGTCAGCGTGGGGGGTGGGGGTAGGCTTCCTCCTCCGAGGACTGGACAGCGGGACAGGCAGGATCAAAACAGCTCAGCCCAGATTCCCCGCATTTCGGAGCACATGGCCCAGGAATTCCCCAGGATCTGCTGGCAGCTGAGTCACCTGATGTAATCAGCTTCCCTATCAGGCATTCAGGTCTCCCTCTAAGGAATTTGAGAGTTGAGTTTCAGCAGGGAAGATCATTTCCGAGTCGCCTGTCTGCCTCCCTTGCCTGTTTGCTGCGGACAGACACCAGCCAGATACACGGGCCGTCCTGTAGCCCCCACAGGAGCCGTCAGGCTGCTCCTCGGCTGGGACAGGGGAGATTGCTTTTCTCTGAGGTGTCTGGTCATCCACAGTTTGCCCCTAAATGGAGATTCACATTCTGGTCAGAGGAAGCTGAAGTGGGGGTGGGGAAGAGGCCGCAGGGATGGGAGACCTACCCCCCAACTGCCATCACAGTTTCCCGGATAATGGAGGGAAGGAAATCGCTCATCTGTAGTTGCTTTCACTTTAGCCTGTCCATTCCATTGCATTCCTGTGGTTCATAGCGTCCATTGAGTGTCCTTTGGTGTTGGGGACACCTGGAAGCATTCATGGGAGTCTGAGCATGAAAGAGAATCTGAGGCTCATGTGTATTATTCTTTTTTTAAAAAATATATATATTTTATTGAATTTTTTACAGAGAGGAAGGGAAAGGATAGAGAGTTAGAAGCATCGATGAGAGAGAAACATCGATCAGCTGCCTCCTGCACACTCCCCACTGGGGATGTGCCCGCAACCAAGGTACATGCCCTTGACCGGGATCGAGCCTGGGACCCTTCAGTCCACAGGCCGACGCTCTCTCCGCTGAGCCACACTGGCCAGGGCTGTATAATTCTTTCATCTTTCTTATGAGGAAATGTTGGTTCGCTTCTCACACCCTGCTGGTCTCAGCTTGAAAGACCGTGTATGCAGGAAGCTGCCCCGACCAACCTCCTCTGTGTAAAGTTGTTTATTTTTGTTTGTTCGTTCCCCTCACGTCCCGCGTGGCTCAGGGTTCAGGATCTGGAAGAGGTCCGCACGCAAATGAAAGAGACAAGACAAGAAATAATAATTTGGAAATATTGGGGGGCCAGGCGGGCAAGTCCAACTCAAGGGGAAGGACTTCCACTGGTGCTCAGGCCTCGCCAACCTTTTATTGGTTTGGGATCCACCCATGGCCCTTAGGCAGGCAATTTCCAGTAACAGGCAGAGTAGCCCATCAGCAAGGATTGACAATAGTAAATGGGGAAGTTGCTTCAGCTACCATTGTCTGGACTAACAGTGGGTGCACAGCCCTGACCATTGCCAGAGCTCAAGGGTCGCCAGCCTTCCGGGATCCTTGTCCACACCTCTCTGCTAGTGAAGACAATGGATGACTTCCCGCACTCCTCCTGCCTGGTCTAAGGGCTCCATCCTGTCACACCCCCCAAGGAGATTCTGTTTCCCCCATTCTGGGCACATCTTCCTCTAAGATCGGCTTGTTTATTTCTCACTAGACTGAGAATTTTCTGAGGACAGAGACCATGTCTATCTTGTCACCATCCTATCCATAGGCCCAGCACCCAGTATCTGTAGAATGAATAAGTGGTTGATAAAAGGCCACAGAACCGGTTGGGATGTCAGGACTAGAACTGAGGTCTCCCAACACTGTGCCCTGTGCTTGCTCTTATATTACCCATACTTCCACCTGAGAGCCCTTATCCATCTGGATGATCCCAGCTAGCTGAGCCCCTAGGGATGGATGCAGATCTCAAGGGAGAAAGGAAACAGAAGGTCAGGGGAACTGTCACCTGGGGCGCAATCTATTTTCGAAGACAACCCAGAGCAAGAGGGGGCCAGTAGAGGGAAGAGCCCCAAACTGCCCCCCCCCCCTCCTATAGCCCTTCAGATTTGGGGAAGGGGGTTGATTTACTGCATAAGTGGATCTTCTCCAGCCACAAGGGGGCAAAGGGCCCCATTCTCCATCCTTAACTCCCACTAGAGCAGATCAGAGCATCAGTGGAAGTAAGAAAGTAGGCAGACACTAAATACAAAACTCAGTCACTGGGCATGTAGTCGCTCTTGATCCTCAGCATGCCCTGAAGACACAGCTGAAGGCACCACCCTCCTGGGAATCTGCCCCCAGTTTCTTATCCGTTGTGAGGCCTTGGGCAGAATGATACTCACTTCACAGGATTGGGTTGTCATGGAGACAAGGGGAAATGTTAGGGCAGGAGGAGAACCTGTGGCTATTCTGATTTCACTCTAAATGACACTCCGCATGGCCCTGGTGCTCATGACCTACCACCAGCCCTCCTGACTCCAAAATCAGAGAGGAAAACCTTGGAGGAACAATTTATGAATTTAGAGACACAAGTTAAGTAATGGGAGTGTAATTTTTTTTTTTTTTAATGAATGAATGTTTCCCTTTGCTTCTTCCCACCTTCTTCCAACACTTTATAAATCCCACCACATCTTGAAGGCCCATTCAATGCTAGAAGCCTTCTTTGATGGAGAGGTAAGAACTTGCTAGAACCGCATGTCTGAGATCCAATCAAGGTTGATCTAACTGAAGACAGATGAACTCAGAAGCCTGGAACAGCTAGCCCTCCCACCTAGCTGGAGCCTACCTCTATCCCATCCCACCCTCCTTTTCCCTATAGTATTAAAGAAGTGGTGACTTTATAGATTTTGGCTTGAGAGATGCAAATTACCAGGATGGAGAAATACTTGGGTGACTTCTAGTCCTGTCAGATTGCCCCTTGCTCACTGAGAACACAGCACAATAGAAGGACAACAGCCCTAGCTGGTTTGGCTCAGTGGATAAAGCGTCGGCCTGTGGACTGAAGGGTCCCAGGTTCTAGGTCAAGGGCATAAGCCTGGTTGCGGGCTCGATCCCCAATGAGGGCGTGCAGGAGGCAGCCAACCAATGATTCTCTGTCATCATTGATCTCTCTCTCTCTCTCTCTCTCTCTCTCTCTCTCTCTCTCTCTATATATATATATATATATATATATATATAGACAACAGGTGACCCTAATCAGGACCAAGCGCCACTCAGAAGCAAGAGCAGTTCCAGGGCCCCTCAAAGTTTCCAGGCAACGCCCCCAGCAGCCTCCACCGTTGTCCTCTAGCCCAGCGGTCGCCAGCCGGTGGTCCGCGGCCACTGGTGGTCAGTGAGGTCCGAAAGGTTGGCGGGGGTGGGCGGGGCCCCATTGACACCTTTCCGTGCAGCGCGGCGGAGAGGAGGCGGGGCCGGGGGCCTGGGCGACCAATGAGCACGGCCCCGGTCACACAAAGCCGGCGAGCGAGCCAATGGACGCGGTGGGGTGTGGCCAGGGCGTCGGGCTCCGAGCATTTATAACAACTTGGAATGCGGTGCCTGGACGCGCGCTCCGAGGCGGCTGTGGGCTCCCGTGCGGGGTGCGGGACGTGTGCCCTAGATCTACCCCCGCAGTCGGCCCCCACTCCGCCCTCTCCCAGCTCCTGCTGGTCATGGAGTCGCTGGCTCTCCCTCGGCGGCCCGGCCCGGCTCCTCCGGCGGCCGCCGCCCTGGCCGACGGGCTCCAGTCGCCCAAGCCGGTGATGAAGAAGCAGGCGGTGAAGCGGCACCACCACAAGCACAACCTGCGGCACCGCTACGAGTTCCTGGAGACCCTGGGCAAGGGCACCTACGGCAAAGTGAAGAAGGCGCGGGAGGGCTCGGGGCGCCTGGTGAGTGCGGCTCCCTCTCGCGGTGCCGGCCGGCGGGCGGCTCGGGCTGGGCCGGGGGCTCGCGCCGTGCTCCGGGGAGTGGCCCCTCCACGCGGTCCTCACCAAGCTGAGATCGCGGGGCTGGGGGCGGTGGGGGTGTGTATTGCAGATGTGTCTGTCCATGGTTGCACGGACAATGGTCGTGGACCTGAGAACCCCAACAACACCGGGCAGCGTGTGATGATGGCCAGTGAGTGAGGCGGACAGCTGGTGCAGGGTGCCTAGAAGTCTAATAGCGTCCTTAGAGATGAGAAGTCTCCCTATAGAAGATGGAACTTGAGTTGGATTTTGCTTGGCACAGACTCCCAATAGAGTGGAATGGGGAGAGGAAGTAGAAGGCACCTGATCCTAGCAGGGGGTTAGTACTGGTAAACGTGTGTGTTTGAATGAATGAGTGAGGCCTCCAGTTCTCAACTCAGTTCTGCGAGTCTGGCAGCCCAGCACACTACGGAGGTCTGCACAGGGGTGGGGTGGGGGTAGGTTCGACACCGAAGTCCTTTCTAAATCTAAGAGTGAGCCGAAGTTTCTGTATGATGAGGTTTTTTTTTAAAATATATTTTTATTGATTTTAGAGAAATGAGAGGGAGAGAGAGATAGAAACATCAAGGATGAAAGAGAATCATTGATAGGCTACCTCCTGTACACCCCCTGCTAGGGATCGAAACCAAAACCCGGGCATGTGCCCTGACTGGGATCCAACTCTGACCTCCTGGTTCATAGGTCATCACTCAACCACTAAGCAACACCAGCAATATGATGAGTTTTTTATTCTGAGAAATGTGAAACCAGGCTCTGGTGCAAGGTCCAGGGTGCCCCAAGATACCTTTGGATCCAAGGCCTTTTCAGGAAGGTCTCCTGTTAATTTGGTGTGTGTGTGTGTGTGTGTGTGTGTGTGTGTGTGTGTGTACATGTTGTAGTAATAGTAGTAATCTGTGGGACCTTGAGCAATTAAGTTATCTCTGTACTCTCAGTTTCCCCTTCTGCAAATACGGAGAAACCTCAGCCTCCCTCACAAGCTGCTCTGAGGATTAAATGAGAAGCAAGTGCGAGTGTAAATTGTTCTGACATGAAGAAACCACAGTGAGAACTGATGCTTATATCTGAAAGAGTGGCAGGCTTGCCGAACGTTAGTGAACAGTGGTTTTCAAACTGGAGTTTAATATGCATAGGAGTCAACGGGGATGCTTGTTTGAAATCCTTATTCTCTGGTTCCACACCCACAGGGTTTTATCCTGAAGGTCTTGGATGGGACCAAATAATCTGTATTTTAGCAAGCCTTTTAGGTCAGGTGCTCTAGGGATTGTTTTGCCAAATCCAGTTGGGTGCTGGTTATGAGAGGTGTGGACGCACAGGGGTGTGTGTGTGTGTGTGTGTGTGTGTGTGTGTGTGTGTAGCCATGGTTTGCCCTATCGGCTATGGCTGCAGTCGCCTCCCCAGATTGTTTGCTTTAGCAGCCAGTAGCTGGTTTGAAATTCAAGAGGTCATTTCATTGGTGAAGGAGAGTGGATGCTGGCAAAAGGGGATGGATTTATGGCCCCGTCAATAAGACCGGGTATGTTTTTTCTGCTAATGCCTGGCATGGTCCCCTGTTGCCTGCTGCCAGGTTACAGCTATTGGGCAATCATGTACTTCCTGACTTTCCTTTTCTTTCTCTTTCTATAAAGTGTGAGGGCCTGGTGAGGCTTCAGGCTTCAGGCTCCTGGGCTCAGGCTTTGTCAGGGGCTTAGCTGGGAAATAGCTCGTTGTGGGGGGCAGGTTGGATTAGGAGGTCTGGAGGGCCCCAAAACTGGGAAACTGAAATTTAAGTTTATAGATCACATCAGGCTTTTGACCTAGGTCACCGCATATACTAGTAGGAGAGAGAGGGAGGAAGGCAGGAGGTGGGGTGTGGAGCAATAGAGAGATCTTATTGATTCTGGAATGAGATAAACCCACTTTCAGTTTTCAAATCACAGTGTCTGTAGGCAGGGAGTCCAGCTCTTGTTATATCAGAGCACTGACTCCAGAAGGTACTCCCCGCCCCATGCAGGGAGCTGAGATCTGTAGGAATGGGACCTGTTCTGAACCTCCCTGGTCCATTGACGTCCTGTGCTTCTGCTGGGCACTTGCTCAGGGTCTCTTCTCCTTGTGGAGCAGCTGCCTGCTGCACTAATGGTTCCTCAGTTCTGGAGAGGAGTCCTCTCCCCCCCGCCCCCATTCCTGCCTCTTCACTGTCCCCCCTGAAGAGAGACCAACCTCCGGATCTTCAATGGGAGAGAGAGACGTGGGAGCCGCCCAAGATACCCCCTCAAAATGAACTGAGATTATTGGTAGAGGCTAAATTCGGAGGAAGACCTGCTGGGTGACTCGCATCCCACTTTTCTCTCCACTTTTCCAGGCCTTTTCCCATCCCCAGCCTGCCTAGATGAGCTTGTCAGGGGCTGGATGGGACTGTCCGGAGAGAGGGGCAGGTGGGCAGGACTAATGGCTACTCCAGGAGGGCATCAAAGGAAAAACAAATATTTGCTCAGGATCTTCTAGTCTCCAAGTACATTCCTGGTGTCCCGATGACATTTCCTCCTGTGACCGTCCCAGCCCCCTCACTCCACCTCCCCCTAAAGAGAAAAACACCCGCTGGTAGGGTTGACCAGAGCCTTTGGGATGATCTGCACGGAAGTCTTAACCTCCAAGGGCTTCCATGAGGAACATGAGGGGGGTCCAAATGGCTAATGATCTGGGGCAGAGGTGCTTCTGTCTGACATATTAAATGGCTTGTTGGGATTTGAATATGACTGAGATGGTCCTATTCCTTCACTGGCAGATGGGGAAACTGAGGCCCAGAGAGGAGAGGAGACTTGTTCAGTGGCTGGTTAGTGGCATGCCTGCGACATAGGCCCCTGATCTGACCACCCCCAGTCCTGGGTCACCACTACTGAGTCTTGGTCTGAGAGTCGGCCTTCAGTTGGGCCCTGCCTATCTCAGTGTGTTTTGTCATTCCAACAGTCATCTCCAGTCACCTTCGCAGAGCTTCAGGCAGTTGGAGGATCACTGAGAACCGACTCCCACACACACTGCCTAGGAAGGATCCTGGTTGTGGGTGAACTACACTACATTCCTGGTTTTTACCTTGTCAGGAAGGCTGCTTAACTCAGAGTCAGGCTGCAAAGTTCAAAATCCTGCCTCTATTGCTCACTAGTTCTGTGACCTCTCTGTACCTCAGTTTCCTCATCTGTAAAGTGGGGTGATAGTAACTCCTACTGCATGGTCTTCTCACAGGCTTAAATAAGATAATATATTGTCAAGTGCTGAGCACAGTAGCTGATACAGTGTCATCCCAGCGAGGCTGCTTTGACTAGACCCTCCCCTCTCCGGGAGGCGTCCATCCTGGGTCTGTCTGCCCTGAGCAAGAGACTGGGCCGTGCTCAGTTTCCTTACGTCTAACCACTTTGCTCTCTGCTTTGTTCAAAGTCCTAGTCTCTCCTTCAGCCCCTACTCCAGAGAAGGGCTCCCACCTGGCCAGCTGCCCTCCCAGTGCCTCCTGCACCTGCCTGCTCAGCAGCAGGGAGGAGGCTCCGGCTGCGGGCGACTCTTGTCCTTGGGCTCTGGCCAAACCACACAAGAGAGCTGGGCAGGGAAGTGCCTTGCCCAGCAACCTGGCAGAGTGGGCAGGAGGGTGGCAAGGAGGGGTGGGCACAACATGTGGTTTAGGGGAAGCAGCTCAGGCTCCCCTCATTCCTGGAGCCCATTCCTCTCCCTGGCTGGTTCTCTGGCAGGCTTGGTGGGGTGGTGAGCACCCACACTCTAGGCTCATCCCCACTCTGCCCAGCCCAGGCCAGCCCAGCTCAGCCTCTCCTCCATTATCTAAGTGGGTCATCCTCCATCTCCTTGCCCCACCTCCCAGATGGCAGCTGCTTCACGAAAGGTCAGAGAGGAGCCAAGGACCTTGAGATGCCCAGTTTGCACCCACTTTCCTGGGACCTGGGACCAGCACCTTTAGGTCTTGTTTTTCTAAGACCTTTCTGCCATCCTCTCCTGAGTCCAGATCATTCCTGATCTGAGTTGGGGGGTGGGTAGGGGCAGTGTTTAACCAATTGAGCCCCAGCACCCATCTCCCCAGTGTTTGTATAAGTGGGATGGGGGTGGCTGGTGGTAGTGTACAGCTTGGCCCAGGGCAGGGTGTGGGGCATTCCCTGCTCCAGGGGCGGGAGGTAGGGAGCTGGAGGCAGGGCAGGGCATCTGCAAGGATCTTTTGTCTTTTGAGATGGCAGCTTCTCCAGGGAACACCTCTCCCTCTTGGATCCTGACTCTGCCTTGATGTAGATCAGGGAACCTTCGAAGAGTCGGTGCACCTCTTCTGCAGTGTTTGCCATTTGCGACATGGGGTAGGGCCACTGGAACGAGAAAATCCCTGGGCTGGTACCAGTAGGAGCTGGGCTCCGGCAGGTTAACAGAGACATAGCATAGGGCCTTGGAACAAGCTCTTTATAACAATCCTGGGCCCGCACCTTCCTGGCGTAGTAGCGGCTGACCCATTTCTGAAGACACTCAGCAGACAAAGCTGGCGTTTGGAGGGGAGCTTAGAGATCCTGGTGTGCAAATTTGTGAATGGCCCCTTTCTTTCTGGCCTTTGCTCAGACATTTCTCTCTGCCTGGGATGCCCCTGCTGCCCCTCCCCAGCCTACCCTCCTTGGCTGGGCACACCCCACTCATCTATCAAGATCTGAAACCCTTTTCTCCCTGCTCCTCCGGGCAGAGGAAGCTCTCTCCAGCGCTCCTGGAGCCCCTGGCAGGCAGGGGCCTCCGTTTTCACACCCATCACACTCGACTGGAGTTGATTTGCATTGCCAGTCCTACCGCTGGACTGAAGATCTTGGTAGAGGGACTGTCCAGTTTTTGTCTAAATCCGCAACTCCTAACATAGCACCAGGCACATAGTAGGTGTCCAGCAAGTGTTTGGAGAATAAATTACCTTTCATTTTCCAGATGAGGACAATCAAACCAGCCAGACCAGTTGACCAGATTATTTAAGTGACTCGTCTTGAGTTGCAGAGTTAAGCAGTGGCAACGAAAGATTGCCACTCTTGACACCCACTCCACAGACCTAGTGTTCTCATGTCCATTAATATAATTGTTGTGTCTGGGTTCCCTGTTCCCTCTCAGTAGAGTGGCCCCATACTGTATTATCTAAACCTGGGTACTTTGGAGAAGAAGGGGTCCCTATCAGTAATATTACTGGGATGAACCAGGATTGTCTCCAGGCATGTGATCTCTCTACCTCTGGGTGATCCATTCAGCTCTGGTCAGTATGTTTTTATTCTAGTCAGCGGTTCTCAACCTCTGGGTCGCGACCCCTTTGGGGGTCGAACGACCCTTTCACAGGGGTTGCCTAAGACCATCGGAAAACACATGCATAATTACATGTTGTTTTTGTGATTAATCACTATGCTTTCATTATGTTCAATTTGTAACAATGAAATTGGGGGGTCACCACAACATGAGGAACTGGATTAAAGGGTCGCGGCATTAGGAAGGTTGAGAACCACTGTTCTAGAGAATGGTTGTTCAACTACCTTGCAGATGGAGAACAAAGGTCCCTCCGAATTAGCGCTTGTATCAGAGGTTGCCTCTCCACCCATGCCCAAGAAGAAAGGCAGAAAATCTTATCTGGCACTGGCCCCATCGGTCAGGGACCAGCCCGATGACGTCCCCAATATATCTAGGTTGCGATTCGTGTTCACCAGTAAACAATTGTTGAGGACTTTCGATTGCGGAGCTGTGTCTAGGCCTGAGCTTTGGATGCATCTAATTTACTTTGCCAGGCTAGCCAGCAGGTAGCTAAGGGCCCTTCTCATGGGATAGGTTGAGGAACAGCGGCCCAGCCCCACCAGGGCACTGACACCTTGCTCTTCTGGTCTGTCACCTGCTTAGGGACTGGTGGAGGCCTGCTCACATTACTTGTTTCTTTCCTGGGAAGTGCCAGCCACACTGTGCTCTCCTAAGACCTAATGTAGATGATTGGGGTCCTTGGCCTCCCCCCTGAGGCCAGAGCATAAGCTTACAGGAGGATGGGACTGTCCATGGAGGTTAACAATTCTGATGTAGAATCATAGGCTTCCAAATTTGAGAGAAATGGATCTCAAGGTTTGACTTATACCCTCTATCTATCCACCAGAGTGCTGTTTCTAGCACGGCTCAGACCCCTTTATTCAAGGCGGGGGGTGGTGAGGACACCTCCTTTCTTTTAGGTCTTGTCTTTTTGAGACCTCTGCCTCCTAAGCCTAGGGTCGTTTCTCTCATTGTTGTATTTGTGTGTACACAACTGTACATCCAAGATGTGCGTAGCCTTTGCATATGTGTGCATCTTAAGCTCTCAAATAGTTCTGTCTCATTATCAAGGTATGTGATTCATGTATTATGTTTTACTATCTGTTAATAGGTCTTTATAGCCCTTTATCTGAAGAGTACATAGTACTTTATCCATTGTCTGATTATTAAAATGCAGACATTTAGAGAGAAAAGAATTAGTCCATAAAATCGTGTCTTCCGGGAGGGGAGAGGGGTCTGGGGAGAGTGGTGTGCAGGAGCCGCGCTCCAGGCTGAAACCTCAGAGCTGATGGAGGATTCCAGCCCCTTTGTCCCCATCCCCACCCCCTGTCCAATTCTAAACCAGGGATTTTGCAGCACAGCTCGTGGGGGTGGTTTGGAGCAGAAGGGGTGGGGGCGTGCAGCGAGCACCTGCAGCTGCAGCGTGGGCCTCCAGAGCATCTTGGCGGGAGGCTCCATGGTGACAGACCCTCCCGCTGCCATTGTCCTCCTTGTCCTGCTCAGGGACGCAGGGAGCTGGGCCTCGCTCTTTCAGGGAGGCAGCTCCCGGGGAGGAGGGCGCGCCGATGGCCCGTTGCCGGGGTGACGGCCCTGGGCACTGTCCGCAGCTCCTCTTACGGGATTACGCTGGGCTGTTCCGCATTCCTGTCGCTGTCCCTGTGAGCAGGAAGCCATTGTCTGCCTCCCGAGCCTGTGAAAGGGGGGATTAGAGGCCCCTCCCTTCCAGCAGTGGTTTCCTTTTCTGTCTCCTTTTGAACCTCGAGGGGATGCCAACCCTCCTGGGAAACTGAATGAGGAGCTGTTTACCTCAGTCTGTGCCTTCGAGTTTCTCATAACTTGCTGTGTCCCGTGAAGGGGAAGTCTTGTGTTTACCATTTGTATGTCCCTGCACCAGCCTTGACAGGAAGTGGCCAGCCCTGTGACACCCCGCCCCTGCCTAGCACCCGATGCCAGCGAGGAAAGCCTCTCAGGCTGTGGCATTTGGTGACATTTGCGTGGCTCATCTCACAGTCAAAGCGGGAAAGCACCGCACAGGTCCGTTCAGCCTGTTTGTTTCACTGAAAAGAAAACGGAGGCTCGGAGAAGGGGTGGGACTGCCCATGGGGACAGGGACAGAGCCTGGAGGACGAACCCGGTCTCCTGGCTCCCCAGGCCACGTCTTCTGCACACACACACACACACACACACACACACACACACACACACTGCACAGCTGTGTTTCTCCCCTTTCTGTCACCTTGGCCTGCGTGGGATGGAGGCAGAGACCCCTCAGCCTCCAGAGCTCTCCCGAAAGGGCATCTGGCAGCTCTTTCTTCATTCTCCCTCGCCGCCCTCCACCCTTGCTGACCTGCCACGAAAACCATCTGGAGCATTCGTCCTTTTATGGTATGTTCACCTTTACAGACAAGATAGCAAAGCCCGGAGGACGCGGTTGCTGGGAGAGGGACATTCCTTCCCTGGACCGAAGAGATCTGTGTGGGGTTTTTTCTTTCCATAAATTTTTTTGTGGTAAAATATAGATAACATAAAATTTACCATTTTAAGCATTTCAGTGTCCAATTCAGTGGCATGCAGTACAGTTACAATGTTGTGCAACCATCACCACCATGCATTCCTCACATCGTTTCATCACTCCGGACAGAAACCCTCTGTAGCCACTAAACCCTCACTGCTCATCCCACCACCAGTCCCTTCCCCTGGTCACCTCTGTTCCGCTTCCTGTCACCTCATAAAGATAGGCTCGTACAGCATTTGGCCTTGTGCGTCTGGCTCACTTCACTTAATATAATGCTGTCCAGGTTCATCCCAGTCGGTGCCAGTTAGTGACAGTATGACTTGGAGCAGGTCACTTGACCCCTCTGGGTACCAGTCTCCTTGCCTATAAATGGGGATGAAGATACTTTCTGTGCCTACCTCCCAGGGCTGTGGGGAGGGCCGGTTAATTTACTAGCACAACAAATGGTTGCGCAGTGCCTGCTGTGTGCCTGGCACTATGCTTGGCATCAGGGATCCAGTGGTGAGCAAATCCTTGTCCTCATGGTGTAGTAGGGTAAATTTGCTATGTACGTAAATCACAAAGCATCAGCCTTCCGAATGGTTGTTACCTTCCTTGCTCATCACTGGTCCTTACTCCTTCCTGCTGCATGGACCACACCTAGAGAAGGTACTCTTCAGCCTCTCTGCCATCTTCCCCTGTGGAGGTCGGAGTGGCATCCCTGGGTGCATCCTGTGGCCTTGGCCGTAGCAGCAGCAGCAGGTAAACCACAGTCAGGACTTGGAGAGTGTCCTCCGGGACACTGTTAGCTGCCAGACCTTTCTCTTCATTCTCCAACATTCTCTGTTCCCAGGTGGCCATCAAGTTGATCCGGAAAGACAAAATCAAAGATGAGCAAGATCTGATGCACATTCGGCGAGAGATTGAGATCATGTCGTCACTCAACCACCCCCACATCATTGCCATCCACGAAGGTACAGAGGCAGGGCGTTTGAACCTGGGAGTGCGTGTGTGTGTGTGTGTGTGTGTGTGTGTGTGTGTGTAGGAGCAGTCAGAACAGATGATACAAAGAAAGAAAAGAGACACAGGCTTTGGAGTTGGGCAAAAGCTGGATTTGAAATGCAGCGGTGTGGCTTGGGCAACTATTCAATTTAGTTTCAGGGTGGGCCCCAGTTCCTCATTTGTAAAACGGGATAATCCCACCTACGTCACGGGGTAGTTGCAAAGGCCAAATAAAATGTCACCGTGTGCTCAGCTCATGGGAGGAACTCTGTGTACTGTAGGCTTTTTGTGGTTATTGTTAGGGTTTCTGTACTTGAATGCTACCTCCCCAACCCAATGAGAGCCTCCGCGATACGGGGGAGGCTGAAACATAGAGGCCTGCACCTGTCTCGGGTGCATGGGTGCTAAGAGCCAGCCTCCTCGGGCTTACCCTGTGCTCGGAGTCATTCCCGCCACGGGGCTGGCTCCCACCTCTCCTTATCATCTTTCCCAGCCTCCTCTCGCTCTGACAACCGTGGTGGCTTTCCACTCCAGCTGCCCTGTTCCCTGTGACCCAGACAACAAAGTAAGCAAGGGGGGGGGGGACGAGGGAAAGAGGGGGAACACCTTCCCACACACATCTGTCTGCTTCCAGACTTTACATAATATCACTTAGATGGGACCAAGGGATAGCAGCAGAGGGAGGGAGACGATGGCTTTCCCTCTATCTGAATATTCCTGGTGGGAAATAGGAGAGAAGTCTTCTCTCTTGGGTTATATCATAGGAAAGCTAAGGGCAGAGCCACTCACATGGCCCTCTGGCCTGAGCCTGTCCCACAGGAGCCCAGGCAAGTAGCTGAGAAAGCCAATTGTGTCTCTGTATATTCCCCCAGGGAAGAGTGGGCATGGCGGAGTATTGGTTAAGCCCGGCTGAGCTTGGTGATCGCTGTGTGTGTGTGTGTGTGTGTGTGTGTGTGTGTGTGTGTATACACATATGGGTGCATGTCCCACACCCATATTCGCCAGCCAGGTCTGGGCACTGAGCTTTGAAGCTCAGGATGTGGCTTCCCCTTCACCTTCCAGTTCTGCAGATATAGGGCCACCATAGTTACTGTGTGTGTGGCAGGGCTCTCCCCATCTATCCCCATCCTGCCACAGCCTGCAGGAGGTATGAACTGGGTGGTGGGGGGACTGACCTAGCTGCTGTCCAGAATGTGCTGGCTCTTGACCTCCAATTTCATGGTACAAAGGCTGCAGAGATATGGAGAACCATAGGGGGAGAGGCTCAGCTAGACACATCCCAGGAGGCTGGGCCACCACCCATCAGGGCCACTCACTCATGTTCCCCTGGGAAAAAGCTCAGTCCTCCCGGCCATGTATCCAAGTGTCTGGGAGCTGGGGCTCCTCCTGGGAGAAGCCACCTCCCTCAGCTCCTTCTCACCTGCTAGACAGCAGCAGCCCGGGGCTGGCCCAGCAAGCCTAACTCCTAGGACCTGTTTGACACAAAGATGCAATGTCAGGGCCATGCGTGTTCTGACATAATCCAGCTGAAGGGCCAGTTTGGTGACCTACTCATTCCCTACCTTTCCAGGGGGCTCGAGCCAGGACAAGTCCTCAGGGGGCAAGAGGGGCCCTCCTACACGTGTTGATGAGCCAGATGGGGCAGGCTGACTGCCAGGAGCCCAGCCAGTCAATTAAGGCCTTGGAAGTACTCTGGGTGGGAAGTCAAAGGTGTTGGGGGAGATGAATACTCAGCTCTCCATTGTATGTACAAAGCACTTCCAAATACTTCTGTCCCTTTTCTGATCCTCAAGGCAGGCATTGTGTGGGCATTATTATACATATTACATCTAGGAGGACACTGCTAGTACATCTAACAGTAGGTGGCATGTATTGAGGGCTTGTTTATATCAGCCCCTCCACCAGCTCGCACAGCCAGCCCCCGGCTGTCACCGGCTTTTATCTAGCTCTCACCGCAGCCCTCAGCGGTTGCCATTATCATCCCCCTCTTCAAATGAGGAAGCTGAGGCACACCGGTTGAATAGCTTGCCAAGGTCACTCAGCTAGTAAGTGAGTGGGGCCAGAATGGGGCCAGGATTCAGACCCCAAACCGACATTCTTACTGTTGGGTCTAGAAGAGCTTTGCCCCACGTCCCAAAGCAAAAAGCATCGAATTCTGAATCCGACAGCCTTTCCATTCTCATCCAGCGATGGCTCTGCCCTTTGGGAACTTGCAAGGTGGTTTCAAGAACCCACAAAAGCCAGAACTTCCAAGGAGAGGGCGGGTGAGCCAGTTTCCTTGGCCCTAACGAGCTGCTACTGAAGATGTGGAGAGCTTCAGAGGCCCTTCTGCTCTTCCTTGCCACCCTCCTGCCCCATCAGACATCCCTGGAGGAAGGTCCTGGAGGGAGGTGTCTGGTCCAGGGCCAGGGAGAGGCCGGTGGACCCCAGGGGGAGCAGTGTGCTCAGGAGGGTCCTGATGTCCCATCTTGTTCTGCCCAGTGTTTGAGAACAGCAGCAAGATCGTGATCGTCATGGAGTACGCCAGCCGGGGCGACCTGTATGACTACATCAGTGAGCGGCAGCGGCTCAGCGAGCGCGAGGCCCGTCACTTCTTCCGGCAGATCGTCTCCGCTGTGCACTATTGCCACCAGGTGGGCCCTTACCCCCCCCCCCCCCCCAGCCCTGCTCCGAGGGATGGTCCCTGGGCTCCGGGGCTGCTTTGGGCCAGAGAGATTCCAGATTGACCCAGGATCACCCAGGGAGACGAAGCAGAGGCAAGACTCGGTTCCGGGCTCTCGGCCTAAGGGACGCAAGGCTTTGAGTCCCTTGGCCAGAGGTGGAAGGGCCTGTGATAACCATGGGTATTCCCAGCCTACTTGTGCCCCCCCCCCCCACACACACACACACTGCCTTGTGTTTGCCTCACTTTCCAGACCAGGCCCTCATGCACTGCCCTCCCTGCTGACCTCCCCCTGAACCCCCTCCTCCCTCTTTCAGAATGGGGTTGTCCACCGGGATCTCAAGCTGGAGAACATCCTCCTCGATGCCAATGGCAACATCAAGGTGAGCCCACTTCTTGTTTCCGGCAGCTCCCACTCCTCCCCAGCCTTTCTGCACGGTCCTCACCAAGTATCCCTGTGCCCTTAGGGGGGTTCCAGGAGGAGTCGAACAAGGTCCGACTTACATGTTCGTTTTATGGATGGAAAACGGAGGCCTCACACTAAGGGGTGACTTGCACAAGGTCCTATGGCTAACGAGAGGCTGAGCCTGGGCTAGAACCAAGGCCTTCTGACTCCCCAACCAGTGCTCTCGACATCACAAGACCGACAGGAGTCTAGGTTTAGGGGCAGTTTTTGGTCACTTGGGACGGGCAGGGAGCAGGCCTTAGTTCTCCCTGCTGTCATGCATGCACGCACATGCGCGCACACATGCCCACTTTAATCTGCTGCAGTTAGGTAGCCCTATGGCACTTTTCCCCAAAGGCCAGGCCTTCCGGCGCCAGCTTCCTGCAGCGTCTGGTTCCCTGAGTCTAAGCAGTTTAATTTAGGAATGAGAAGGGCACACTGATGAGATAAAACTCAGATCACAGCGCTGGAAGGGGCAGATGTCAGGCCGGCCCCTGCATGTACCTGGGAGGGCACTGACTCTGCACTCAGACTTCCTCAGAATCTTCCTGAGCTCAGGACATAGTCCCTTCTCCAGTAGCTCATGACCTGTGCTTTGAGGTGCCCTGGCGCTGACTTCATTCCCCTTCCCAGCCAATTCCCGGAGCAGGTGGAGCTTGCTTTGATGTGTGGGATGGGGGAGGGGAGCAGAGCCAATAAACCCTGCACTGGCACCAACTTTCTATCTGCACCAATCACCTGCCTCATATGGGCTTCACTGGAAACTGCTCGATAAGAGGCCAATAAAACCATAAATGAAGGAGCCAGAGTTTCATAAACAGGCCCTCTCCACCCTAGACACACATGGCCCTCTGCTGGGGGTGAAGGGGTCAGGAGCAGAAGGGCTCTGACCTCAGCCTCTGTCTGAGAGGGTGGGTGGGGAAAGGTCTTTCTGGGAAATGAGAGGTGGACTTGGGGCCTCTCAAAGCCTCAGTACCCGATGGCTCAGGGAGTCCTGTGAGAAGGTTCCCTCTCCTGGGCTATCACTCCAACCGTGATCTTTGTTCTGCCCTCACCGGTGCTTCTCAGCCATACCGGGCTGACCCCATGATCCAGGAATTGGCTGGGAAGGGAAATGAAGTCAGCGCCAGGGCACCTCAAAGCACAGGTCATGAGCTACTGGAGAAGGGACTATGTCCTGAGCTCAAGAAGATTCTGAGGAAGTCTGAGTGCAGAGTCAGTGCCCTCCCAGGTACATGCAGGGGCCGGCCTGACATCTGCCCCTGCCCAGGTGTGGACATAAACAAGCCCTTTGCTAGGAAGGGCCGCCCAGCCTTGCGTGTGTACTCAGAGCTGGGGTGGCATGCTGCTGAGGGCCGGACCCTGGCATGAGCTGTTGAGTCTCCCCCTCCATCTGGTCAACCTTCCCACTGAGACCCATTCATGGGTCACACCTGTGCTAGGAGCTGCAGGAGGGATGGAGACAGAGGAGGTCAGCACGGGGAGCATTGATGTGGCAACATGAGGAGACAGAACCGCTAGGCAACGGCTACAGCAGGCCGTTGGAAACTGTAGGGCTTCGTGGGAGAAGATCTCAGGGCAATGGAGGGCTTCCCAGGGGAGGTAGGCTTGCTGAATCCGGAGGATGCATATACCTGGGGGGTGGAATACAGCATGAGCAGAGGAGCCTGGGAACAGGGAGGGCCCTGAAACCCTCCCACACCTCTACCGAAGTGCTCATTGACACAGCTTCCGCGAGCTCTTTCTTCCAGGGCCTGAGCTGGGTTGACAGTACCCAGTGTGGGGTGGGAGTCATGGGCAGCCTTTCCTTCTGCTGGGGCCTGGGTTTCCCCAGCGTCTGGGAGAGGCATGAAAGCGGCAGACCAGCCCAGGCCTTGGCGTGACCCTGCGTGTTTGTCCCACCCTGCAGATTGCTGACTTTGGCCTCTCCAACCTCTACCACCAAGGCAAGTTCCTGCAGACATTCTGCGGGAGCCCCCTCTACGCCTCGCCCGAGATCGTCAACGGGAAGCCCTACACGGGCCCAGAGGTGGGTGTCTGCCCTCCGCCATTTCCTGTGACTTTAGCTCCTCAGAGCATACAATCCAACACTGTCTGTCCCCCAACCCACAAAGTAGTGACTTGCCAGGTCTCTAGCCAGCAGTGGCCAAACTGGAACGAGAACTTAAATCTCTTGACCCTCAGTCTAGTTCTGTGCTGCTCACCTTCCTGGTTTCCATCACCTTTCCCAACACCCAGCCAGCTACCCCTTCCTGTCCCGGAAGGATGGCCTCGCCACTGCTCTCGTGTTTGTGGCTGCCCCTGCCAAGGAGAGGTGATTGACAGCACCTCTCCCCTGAGCTTCAGTGCCTCCTGCAGCGTCACTCCTTTGCCCCTGGATACTAGAGAGAGGTGGCCCTCAGATGCACTGGCCTCTCTCTGGTGTGCAGGGGGGGCTGGAGGCCCTCCAGCATCCTTGCTGATCTCCCCTCTCCCCCTTCTCTCAGGTGGACAGCTGGTCCCTGGGTGTTCTCCTGTACATCTTGGTGCATGGCACCATGCCCTTTGACGGGCAGGACCATAAGACACTGGTGAAACAGATCAGCAACGGGGCCTACCGGGAGCCACCTAAACCCTCAGGTGAGTGGGAGGTATGGGTGTTCGCATCCAGGCCCTGGTGTCCTGAGCTAATTCCTGAGGCGGGAGTTAAACAGTGGCAGCAGAGTGAGGAGGACACCCCAATGCAGATGAGAGGACCCTCCACCACCACCTGCTGTTACCTCTCTGCCTCCAGTGTCTGTGACCTTCTTGCCCTGATGGACATGCTTTGTTGTATTTGGGGAGGCTTCCTAAGGTCTGACCTAGATCCCTTTTGCTATAGTTGTCTCGCTTTCCACTGCTTTTGCCCTCATCCTTTGAAATCTTTTTGTCCTTTCTACCTACATTGTAGGAACCTTGGTTTACCTTTCAGCACAGTCCGCCTCCTTGGAGGGTAGCATCTCTGGGGACACGAGGATGCACACTCACATACAACAAGGCTACTGAAGGGGCCCGAGCCCTGAGGGGCATGGCATGAGAAAGGAAATTGACAGAGTCCATCCAGGGGAGCCAGAGGCTGGGAGGTGGCGGAGCTGGGGCGTGTGTGTGGAGCCCTCGGTGGGAGTAAACATAACTTACCCAGGAGTGAGTGGTGTCTTAGCACAGATGGGGGTAAGCCAGTAAGAGGGGACGGTGGGTGCCCGTTCTCATGGCTGCCAATCTGAAGCCCCTTGTCTTTGTCTTCCAGACGCCTGTGGCCTGATCCGGTGGCTGTTAATGGTGAACCCCGCCCTCCGGGCCACCCTGGAGGATGTAACCAACCACTGGTGGGTCAACTGGGGCTATGCCACCCGTGTGGGGCAGCAGGAGGCTCTGCACGAGAGAGGGCACCCTGGCAGTGACTCTGGCCGGGCGTCCGTGGCCGACTGGCTCCGACGGTCCTCCCGCCCCCTCCTGGAGAACCGGGCCAAGGTGTGCAGCTTCTTCAAGCAGCACGCGCCGGGAGGGGGCAGCGTGGCCCCCAGCCTGGAGCGCCAGCATTCGCTCAAGAAGTCCCGCAAAGAGAACGACATGGCCCAGTCTCTCCAGGGGGACCCGGCTGACGACACCACCCCTCGCCCCAGCAAGGGCAACCTCAAACTCCCGAAGGGCATTCTCAAGAAGAAGGTCGCTGCCTCCTCGGAGTGTCGGGGGGAGGACTCTGAGCTCAGCCCGTCCCCCACGGGCCCAGAGCAGGCTGCCCCCCTGCTCCCCAAGAAGGGCATCCTCAAGAAGTCCCAGCAGCGGGAATCCGGGTACTACTCCTCCCCTGAACCCAGCGATTCCGGGGAGCTCTTGGATGCGGGGGACGTGTTCACGAGCAGGGACTCCGTGGAGCAGAAGCCGCCCCAGACCCCGGGGATGCTCCACCATCGCAAGGGCATCCTCAAACACAACGGCAAGTTCTCCCGCACCACCACCCCCGCCACCTTCGGCTCCCTGAATGAACTGGCCTCACCTCGCCCTCCGTCCAGGGCCAGCCGCCCCTCGGGAGCTGTGAGTGAGGACAGCATCCTGTCCTCCGAGTCCTTTGACCAGCTGGACCTGCCCGAGCGGCTCCCCGAGCCCCTGCTGCGGGGCTGTGTGTCTGTGGACAACCTCACCGGGCTGGAGGAGCCCCCCTCCGAGGGCCCAGGAAGCAGGGGCCTGAGGCGCTGGAGGCAAGACCCCCTGGGGGAAAGCTGCTTTTCCCTGAGGGACTGCCAGGAGGTGACGGAGGTCTACCGACAGGCCCTGGGCATCTGCTCAAAGCTCAGCTGAGGGAGAGGGGGCATTGCCCCAGCGGACAGGCTCTAAGATGCACCTGGCAACACCCTGAGGGGAGACGCCTTCTCCCCGGCCTCCTAGGCCCAGCATTCCAGCCCAGAAGGCTGAGATGGTTGGCAGTTTAGTCGTGGGGCGGACCGGATATGAGGAAAATGGGCACGTGAAAGGCATTGAGGGCTCAGTGTCCTCAGCCCTGTGGAACCAAGAAGCTATTGGAGGGGAAATGGGTAGAGAAGTAGAGGGAAGGCCCGTGGCCAAGTCCAGGTTCTCTGTCGGGTGTCTGCAGCCCCATGGAGGGAGCACTCTTTTCAGTACCCATGCCCTTAATTGCTGTGCGTGGTGCCTTCGCCAAGGTAGGGATGGAAACTCTTCACATCCCCGTCCCCACCTCCATCCCCACCCGGCACTGAAACTGGAATATGGAAACTGCTCATGTGCCTGGGACGTCCTGGGACAGTCTCCTGCAGGGTGCCCGTCCTTACTTCTCCAGCAGTAAGAGAGCATACAACCTGTTTCCTCAAAGGCTCTCTCGCCTTTCCTGTCCTCCAAGCCTGGCCCAGGCCTCCTGGAGTCGCTGCTATGAATCTGAAAGACTTGAAAAGGCTCAGGCTGCTACTGGACTTCATCTCAAGGGGCCCAGATGCCTCAGGACCCCACCTTGAACCTCAAAGGCTCTGTGACCTTCTCCGGCTTCTAAGCTGCTCTATTTATGTTTTCAAGCTCTGTGTTTTATGTTCTTAAAAAAGTGAATTTTGCTGTTTTTCTATACTGTGAATACTGTGTTCTGGAAAGTCCACTATACATGTAACTTTTGTGTACAGAGAAGTGTTTTTGCAGTGATTCCCTACTGATCGTGGGGGAGGGGGCCCTTTAAGAAATCCGCGTGTTCCGTTGCACTGTCCAGAGGAGGCCTCCTCTGGCTCCCTCATCCACGCCCTGATTCCGTCTACCTGATGGTCCCTCTTCCCTTCTCTGTGGCCAGGAAAAGAACCACTCCATTAAAAACCAGAACGGCGACTGGAAACAGCCTCTGTTGTTCTGTTTGAGGAGGTGGGGCGCAGATCTTTGAGCCTTTACACACTCCTGCTAAGACATAGAGAAGCTGCTTAATAAAAACAAGCCAACAACAAACACCCAGCTGTAGCTCCCAAAAGCTCCTTGATACACCTGCATTCGTGTTCTGCCCTGTTCAACACGCGGGTGCGGGGCCCTGGGCTGAGGGTCCCAATTTGTTCTTCCTGTCGTTGGTGCTAAAGGGAGAACTGGGCTCGGCTGATTGTCCAGCCCTGCTCCCAGCCTTTTCTGCCTCTTCTTTCACCCCTCCCCCACCCAGTTCTGTCCCCTGCTGCTTGAAGACACCCCCACTGCCTTTATTCTCTCTCCAAAGAAATCCCCTTGGCTCAGTGTTGGGCAGGCTCTCCACTCTGCCCCCACCGCCTGACCCCTAGTGAAATAAAGAATGCTTGGAATGCCCCCCCTTGAAGGCTGTCCTTCAACCCCCAGCAGAGCATTCCCAGCCCGCTCTGCTCCTTTGAGAAACTCCAGGGTTCCATGAGGACTGGGATGAAAGGGAGAATAAGGACAAAGTGCAGGCAAGCAGCCCGAAGGCTCTTGCTTCAAGCAGGCTCCCTCCCTATGCCCTACTCCCTACCCCCAACGCATCCCAGTCCCAGCCAGCTGCAGCTCCCTTTCCACAGCACACCTGCTCTTCTGGGGTGGAGCCTCGGGATCTTCCCTCCCCTTCTCTGCGAAGTTGCTGGGTTTGGGGAATAAATGAGGTGTCCAGGCAAGTATGGGGCAAGATGCTAGAGCAAACAAGAAATTGCTCAAACTACAACTGGAGTATTTCAGTCGATATCTTCAAAGTCCTACTGAGGACTGGAGCTCTGGGCTATAAACTCCGGTGAACACCGGGAAAATATAAGGGAGGGTTTTTTCACTCAAGAAGCATAGAGTTCAGCTGCAGAGTTGGCTGTCTCCTTTATTCATTCAGCTTAGGAATCAGCCCTATTCTCTACCAAGCTCTGTGGAGACAAAGGTTATTGCTGTATCTCTGGTGCAATGCGTAAGATCTTAGCCTCAAGGAGACTGCAGATTGGACAGCAAGGTGGCAAGTCTGGTCAAGATGGTGGTGTAAGTAAATATGACATTTGCCTCCTCCCACAACCACATCAAAATTACAACTAAACTACAGAACAACCATCTTTCAGAACTGTCTGAAATCTGGCTTATTCCAAATCTGACAACTAGGGAATTAAAGAAGAAACCACACTGAGACTGGGTAGGAGGGTGGAGAACAGAATGGGCTAGTCCCACACCCATGTGTGATGGATAAAAATTAAGGAGTGAGGGGTCCCAGCCCCACATCAGGCCCCCCCAGCCCAGGTTCCAGTACCAGGAAGAGAAGTCCCCATCACTTCTGACTATAAAACCCAGCAGGGATTGTAACTGAGTGAGATGGAGGACATCTGGAGTCCCAGGCAGTTTCTCTTAAAGGGCCTACACACAGACTTATTCAGACTCACTCCCTCTGAGCTCCAGCACCAGGGCAGCAACTCAAAAGGCACCGGTAACATATAGGAGGGAACTCAGTTGTCTGGCATCAGGGGGGAGCTGAAGGGGAGCATCTTTCTGCTGACAAAAGTGCTGGCAGAAGCCATTGTTCCTTTCTAGAGACCCCCCGCCTCCAGTACCCCCTTAGAGCCAGCAGGTGGGCACCATATTTGAGTCTCCATCTACCTGGATCACACTGTTCACTCTGCCCTGGTGATTCCCAGAGAACTTGCCCCACCCAACTTGGGTGCCCACCAGTGGCTTTTCAATACAAATGGCCTGTCTTGGCTCATGCTTCAGACTTTCCTAAAATCTCTCAAACAAGCAGCATCTGGCCTCAGTGTTCCCTATACCTCTCACTAAGTGGCCCCAGGCCTGACACTAGCAGCAGCCGGACTTGGTTCACAGCCTTGAGCCTCACCTGGGCACCTCTAAGGGGGCCTCAGTCAGAACACAGGCAGCAGCTAACCTTGGCTTGCACATTCCAGGAGGCCCAAAAGCTAGTGCACCTGGTGGGCAGCTTCGGAGCATCACCCAATCATCTCCACAAGTGACACACTCAAGAGGCAGACTCAGCAGGCACTAGAGCACTGCTCAAGTAAATCCAGCTCTGTGCTCTGTGGAGTGGCCCCTGCACAGTTGATTCTCTTTGGAGGTTGGTGGTCAGTAGTCACAGCCAGTCTTCGCAGCTGATTGGCCTGCGGGTAAATCCCTCCCTCTAATGTGCCAACATTAATCAAAACTCAACTACAATAGGAGGGTTTACACAGCTCACATGGGGTGGGGGGAGGGATATACCTGGAGTGCCCAGGGAGGCTGCACACTGGACCCTACAAGACACCTATTACATTAAACCACTTTACTAAGTCTGGGAGACATAGCAGCTCTACCTAATACCTAGAAACAAAAATAGGGAGGCAGCTAAAATGAGGAGAAAAGAAACATGTCCCAGATGAAAGAACAGAACAAAACTCCAGAAAAAGAGCTAAACAAAATGAAGATAAGCAATCTACTAGATGCAGAGTTCAACACACTGATTATAAGGATGCTCAATGAACTTAATGAGAACTTCAACAGCATAGAAAATGACATGGAAACCATAAACAAGAACCAGTCAGAAATGAAGGATACATGAACTGAAATAGAGAATAATTTACAGGGAATCAACATTAGAGTAGATGAAGGCAAGAATGAAATCAGCAATTTGGAATGTAAGGAAGCAAAAACTACCCAAAAAGAAAAAAGAACCCCCACCACCACCAAAAAATAATGAGGACAGTGTAAGGAGCCTCTGGGACAACTTCAAGTATACCAACATTTGCATCATGGGGGTGCTGGAAGAAGAGAGAGGGAGCAAGAAACTAAAAACATGTTTGCAAAAATAATGACAGAAAACTCCCCTAACCTGGTGAAGGAAATAGACATACAAGTCCAGGAAGCACAGAGAGTCCAAGATGTACCCAAAGAGGCCCACACCAAGATACATTGTAATTAAAATGCAAAAGTTTAAAGACAAAGAGCGAATCTTGAAAGCAGCAAAACCAGTTAATTACCTACAGGGGAGCTCCCATTAGACTGTCAGTTGATTTCTCAACATTCCCTGGCTCAATCCCCAGTGTGGGGAGTGCAGCAGGCAGCTGATCAATGCTTCTCTCTCATCATTGATGTTTCTATCTCTCTCCCCCTCTCCTTTCCTCTCTGAAATCAATAAAAATGTATTTTAAAAAATAATATTCTAATAACTATGTATTGTGTCAAATGAGTATGAAATTTATCAGCATAATCACTTAGTAAGTTGTATAATGTCTAATCACTGTAGTGCACACCTGAATCTAATATAATATTAATAGAGGCCCAGTGCACAAAATTCGTGCACAAAATTCGTGCACGGGTAGGGTCCCTAGGCCGGCCGGTGATCAGGGCCGATCAGGACCTTCTGCTGCCAGCTGAGGCCTTCCTTCATTCCACACCATTCCCTGGTGGTCAGCACACATCATAGTGAGTGATCGAACTCCCAGTCTCCTGATTGAATTCCCAAGGGGACACTTTGCATATTAGCCTTTTATATATATATAGATATGTCACCTGCAATTGAAAAATAAGAATGATTTTTAAAAATAAGTAAAATTCAACAGAGAAATTGTGAGTTCAGAGAATGTGGAAGGGGACTTTGAATGATGGGAAAAAGAACTGAAACTTAGGAGATAATAATAGGGGTTATAGCCCAGCTGGCATGGCTCAGTGGTTGAGCATTGACCTATGAACCAGGAGGACACGGTTCGATTCCAGGTCAGGGCACATACCCGGATTGCAGGCTTGATCCCCCTTTGAGGGGCATGCAGGAGGCAGCCGATCAATGATTCTCTCTCACCATTGATGTTTCTATCTCTCTCCCACTCTCTTCCTCTCTGAAATCAACAAAAATATATTTCAAAAAAATAATAGGGGCTACCAGTGCTTATGCATCAAGCCCTGGGTTGTGTTATTTCATTTTATACAATTGCTGGGGTCCAACCCCAGCAGGTCCAGGGGTCCCCAACGGTGTGGACGGAGTCGGCGAAGAAGGAATGACACGGAGACAGAATTCAGTTGATCAGCAGCCTAGCCAGGATCTCTAGCCAAGTTCTGGTCTGGATCTCCAGCAAAGTTCTGGTCAGGATCTCCAGCCAGGTTCTTCAGGTTCTCCAGCCAGGTTCAGTCACCAGATTCTAGTCAGGTTCTCTTGCCATGTTCTATCCAGGTTCTGTAGCCAGGTTCTGTCTCTAGGTTCTGTGGCCAGTTTCTGTCCAGGATCTTTTGCCATGTTCTCTCGCTAGGTTCTGTCTCTAGGTTCTGAGTCTAGGTTCTGTGTCCAGTTGTCTTGTTACATCTATAATTATACCAGTTGATTCCAACCCTATCAATCTCTATTCCAAAGGTTAGGGCGTTTCTTATCTCCATTCCAGGGAGTAAAGATTATGTAGCTTAAGCATGATTGTTTGTAGTTAAAGTGATTAATTACCCTCCTGGCACTTAGTTAAGGGGTTTTATTCCCTCCCTAACTTCAGGGGAAAATCCCTACCTGGGGGAACAACCTTTCTCAGAGAGGTGACCTTGGTTAAAACACATAGTGCCAAGAAGGTGAGCAAACATATTAAGAACAGTATGCCATATATGCCAGGTCCCTTGAAACAGCAAGGATGGACCGGCTCCCGGCATACAATTTTCATCATTCTCGTGTGACAGAAGAGGAAACTAAGACTCAAAAACATTAAATAACTTGCCTACTTAGCAAGTGGGAAAACCAGACCTCAAATCCAGGTCGTTGGGATGCCAAATCTTAGTGGGATGGGGTGGGGGTACATTTTATCTGGATTGGGTTGGAGAGTTGAGAGCAAGAATATAAGTGAATTGAACTACAAATATTTATTGAGCATTTATTACACGCCAGGCTCTTTCCCAGGCAGGAGGTATATAGTAGTTCGTCCTACA